CATCACCTCCAATTTATACAGATCCTATCCTGAGGTTTTCTTTGCATGATTTAATCAAGAGGTTTTGACATTGCCTTTTCACTGAATCTGAGATTATCTGATTTGCCCAAGGACACCCTAGCGTTCCATGGCAGAGTGGGAATTCGAACCCCGGTCTCAGAATTGTTGATCAAGTATATTATGCTGGCTCTTCCAAGATGTTACACTGGAGAATTCTACATATTGGCTTTATAGTTTTCCACATACATTTTACTATTTTATCAAGGGGGCCAGTCCAGCAGAGTTGATGGCATAGGAGCATCGCTTCAATGATGGCGATCTTTGCTTCTTCCAGCATGCTGGCATTTGTCCACCTGTCTTCTCAAGAGATTTGCAGAATTTTTCAGAGGCAATGCTGATGGTAATGTTCCAGGAGTTGAGTGTGATGTCTGTAAACAGTCCACGTTGGGTGGACAATAGCTTTATAAAAAGCTATTTATAAAAAGCACCTTAGTATTCCTATGGCTGTCTTGATCCTCAAACACTCTGTGCTTCATTCAGAAAAAATGCTGCACTTGCAGAGCTCAGGTGGCGTTGTATTTCAGTATCAATGTTAACTTTTGTGGAGAGGTGGATGACATAGTAGCAGAATGGTCAACATTTTCTAATATTACAACATTAAGCTGTATTTCTGGCATTGAAGAGGGATTGGCTGGTGACTGCTAGAAGAGCACTTTGGTTTTCTTGATGTTCAGTGAGAGGCCAAGCTTCCCGTATGCTTCTGCAAAAGTGTTTAGAGTGGCTTGTAGGTCTTCTTCTGAATACACACAGATGACGTTTTCATCAGCATATTGGAGTTCTATAACAGATGTTGTTGTGACCTTGGTTTTGGCTTTCAGTCTGCTGAGGTTAAATAGATTTCCATCTGTGAAATAGATGATTTCCCTTCCAGTGGGAAGCTTCCCATTAACAAGATGAAGTATCATAGCGATGAAGATGGAAAATAAGGTTGGGGCAATAACATCGTCTCCCAAAGCAGTTACTATTCGTTCAACTCAAAAATGGAAAACAGAATGTTGGTGGACATGAAAAGAGATGTAACGATGGGCTTAAAGCTAACCTTAAAAACTGTGGCATAGACACCAAGAACAGGGAAGCCTTTGGCTGGCATGACTCAGTGCTATGAAATCCTGGACTTGTAGTTTGGCCAGTCATCAGCACTCTTAGGCACAAAAGGCCAAAGAGCCCGTAAAACTATAACTCCAGTGATTCCATAGCATTGAGCCATGGCAGTTGAAGTGATGTCAAACTGGATTCATTCCAAAGTGTAGGTGCACCCTCAATGGGTTTCTATGGCTGAGGAGGATTCAAGACAGGTCTCCAGAGTAGTAGCCGATGCTCAAACCACCATACCATGCTGATTCTCCATACCAAGTGAAATTCATATCTTAAAATCTAAATTTCCCATAAAAACATCCCTCAATGTCCTAAACCAAAAGCAGGAAGTCATATTCCTAAGCATTTAATGTTACTCATATCACATCGACAACTGACAGTGTACTGCAGCAATCCCTTAAACGTTTTGACGGTGCTGTCTACATTTTATCTATTCAGTGTATCTAATTTAGAAAGGCATGTTAAAAACACACACACTGACACTATTCTCAGACAGAGCCTCCTCCACATGAAAATGCAGGAAGGCTACAATGACTTCTTTAGTAACTAGTTCACTATTTTAGTAGAAGAATGCATTTTTGGTGCACTACTTGATATTCCCATTGGGTAATAACTTACACATTTATCAAGTTGACTAAAATGTACCAAAAGTGTATTCTCTCATTGAAATATCAAGCATGCTCTTCATTAAGTAAATCCTAGCAGAGGTTAGATTTCACCTGAAAAAGCCTTGAAGTCAGAACATCTCCTTCATATACTTCACATGAAATCCAGAAGTATTAATATCTTTTCACATAAGGCAAGTAAATCCTAATTACAGGAGGAGTTATCATATAACATAGTTCCTCTTCTGTTGTTCTCCAAGAGAGAGATCTTTGGAAAGTGTTTCTATTACAAAAAGAAGTTAACAGAAGTTTGGGGTTTGTAAAACCAAGGCTTTCCAAACCATCTTCCAGAAGAACAACAGAAGAGGAACAATGCTATGTGGCAAGTTCCAGGCAAAAGTGCGATTGCAATAGACCTGCCTTGTGTGATAAGCTTCTTATATAGCAACTCCCTTTACAAATCTTTTCCATTTCTTTATACTAGTGTTTCTCAACCTTCCTAATGCCGCAACCCCTTAAGACAGTTCCTCATGTTGTTGTGACCCCCCAACCATGAAATTATTTTTGTTGCTACTTTATAACTGTAATTTTGCTATTTTTATGAATCGTTATGTAAATATGATATGCAGATATATTTTCATTCACTGGACCAAATTTGGCACAAATACCCGCTACGCCCAAATTTGAATACTGATGGGGTTGGTTGATTTTGTCATTTGGGAGTTGTAGTTGCTGGGATTTATAGTTAACCTACAATCAAAGACTATTCTGAAGTCCACCAATGATGGAATTGAACCAAACTTGGCACACAGAACTCCCATGACCAATAGAAACTACTGGAAGGGTTTGGTAGGCATGACCTTGAGTTTTGGAGCTGTAGTTCATTTACATCCAGAGAGCTCCGTGGATTCAAACAATGATAGATCTGGACCAAACTTGGCACTCAAAATGTGAACATTGGTGGGGTTTGGGGGAAAGATACCTTGACATTTGGGGTTGTGGTTGCTGGGATTTATAGTTTACCTACAATTAAAGAGTATTCTGAACCCCACCGATGACGGAATTGGGCCAAACTTCCCACATAGAATCCCCATGCTTTGAAGAGACTCGCTGGCATGAGCCTCCCTTCAACCTCACATGCTCTCCCTTGCCCACACATGTGCACTATTCTGCCCTGTGCTGAGCATGCCTGCTCTCCCCTCCCCATTTGGGATTCTCAGAAACAGCCCTCCCCTTGGCTGAGAGGCCAGCAAATTACTGCAGAAGAGGGCTTTTGGTGGGAGGATTCACCGTCTGTTTCCAAAAAGGAAGAGAAGGACAGGCGGAGAGATGTTCAGCCTTCTCTGCCAAAGGGGTTCCTAAGACCATCAGAAACATATGGTTTCTGATGGTCTTTGGTGACTCCTCCAAAACCTTCTTATGACCTCCCCAGGAGTCCTGACCCCCAGTTTGAGAAACTGTGACTTATACATTATATAATTATAACACTCTTACTCCACTTTAACTGCTATGATGGGCATTATAGTCTGATGAGGCACCAGCACGCATCCAACTATGAGCTTGCTAAAGTGGAAATCCCAATATTTCAGAGGATGGAATTATGACAATTAAAGTAGAATCGTAGCACTATAATTTTGTAGTGTTATGAGGCCCGCAGCAGGAAATGATAGCAAATAATACTTTAATCACTGTGAGAGGTGTTCTTTATTTTCATAACGAATAGCTGGGAAAAGATGCTAAAATGCAGAAGAAATGAAGTACAAGCGGCCAGAATGATGTCTCATTCAGTGAAACGCTTCCAGAGTGTGTGGTTTTGATTTTGGCTTTGGTTGTGACTGTGACCTTTTCAGGGGTTGTTGAGATTATCCTTACAACCCCTGCTCTTGATTTTTGCTCCAAAACATTGAGTTTGACTTGTGTTGGCTCAGCAGCTATGTCTGGAGGATTCTTGACATCACAGAAGTAAGTGCCATTGTCTTTCACCTGGACGTTTTTCACTATGATAGATGCATCGCTCATAGTAAAGTTTCCATCCCACCTGGTCCGGCCACTGAATTGTGTACTCTTCCCAGTATATTCCTTCCCGTCAGAATAGTAGAAAAACTGTAATAACAAAAGGAAATATATTATATTTGCATTGAAATTAAGTTTTTGCTTCTTTCTTCAGTACATTTAGCTAGGTTTTCCAGAATTTAGCTGCCTGCATATAATTTGGATCCTGCAAAGAAAACTTTGTATTCCTAGAGGAGGATAGCCTGAGATGCTGGGTTACAATAAACTCTGTTTAATAACAATTATTATATAAGCATTATAAAAGTATTAAACAGCCAAATATTTTATAAAAGAATAAAAGTCTCAAACCATGTATGTATAAAAAATTGGATAGAATCATTAGACCCCAAAGGCTATAATAAAAATAGATGGGGAGAGAGCATTATTTATTTATTTACAGTATTTGTATACTGATTTTCTCACCCCGAGGGGAACTCAAAGCAGTTTACACATAAGTAATGGCAACATTTTAATGCCAGTACAAACAATTACAATTATGTATTGTCGAAGGCTTTCATGGTTGGAATCACTCAGTTCTTGTGGGTTTTTTCGGGCTATATGGCCATGTTCTAGAGGCATTTCTCCTGACGTTTCGCCTGCATCTATGGCAAGCATCCTCAGGGTGAGGTCACGTCAGGAGAAATGCCTCTAGAACATGGCCATATAGCCCGAAAAAACCCACAAGAACTGAATTACAATTATACACTACAATTAGACATAAATTAAATTTAAAAAAATACACCCATTATTCAAAGGGATTGAAGGCAAAGCAGAAAGAGACCAGGGAAGCAGGACAGAGACAACTGGATTGTTAGCATTTTATAGACTCATAGAGTTGGAAGAGATCATAAGGGTCATCCAGTCCAGCCCCCTGTCAAGCAGGAACAACATACATCAATAGACATTGAATAGTCATCAATAAGATGTTTGAGCATGTGACAAGTGTAAAGAGTACTGTCAAAATAACCCTAACCCTAACCCAATCCATATTCATATTTACCTGAGATATCAGCTCTTACCGTTATGGGACGAGCGGTTGACTCCTCGTGCTGAAAGCTCCAAGTAACTGAGGTTGCAGCGCTGATCTCCTCTGAGGACTGGAAGGTACATGGAAGCCTTGCATCTGTCCCAGCCTTCATAGTGAGTTCAGTTGGCAGGGCCATTTCCATGACTACAACATCTTCTATTGAATTACAAGATGCCAACTGTGTCCCTTTCCAAACAATAACATTACATAGTTATACAAAGGCAGTGGTTGACAAAGCTATGCATAAGCATCTTGCTTGCAAATTAATTTGGCTTTTAGATATTTAGCTCTGCAAGAGGGGAAGCTGTAGGTCTCAAAAGCATCTTCCATCTTGCTGCACCTCCCATAATTTGCCTATGTTGATAAAAGTGGATGGGAATTGCAGCCCAAGAATATCTGGAGGCAGAAGTATTTCAATGTGTTTGACTTACGAGATATAAGTAGCAATGTCCAAGCTCTGAGACAGAAACCTTTTTTAGTGAGGAGAAATATAGCAGATAATATGAGTAGGAAAAAGGAAAAACATTTTTAGTTCTCAACCATCATATATGGTTGTTTTGCTCCTTTCACTCATTTTCACCTCCCTGGCGCTGATACCTAAAGTGCAAGTGCCACAACACCTGAAGATGCCCTACCCACATCTGACGCCGGACTATCATATCTAGTCGTGTCTAGCCCACATCTATGGCAGGCATCCTCAGAGGTTGTGGGGTCTGTTGGAAACTAGGAAAATGGGGTTTATATATCTGTGGAATGTCCAGGGTGGGAGAAAGAACCCTTGTCTGTTGGAGGTAGGTGTGAATGTTCTTTCTCCCACCCTGGACATTCCACAAATATACAAACCTCTCTTGCCTAATTTCCAACAGACCTCACAACCTTTGAGGATGCCTGTCATAAATGTGGGTGAAACATCAGAAGAGAACGCTTCTAGAACATGGCCATACAGCCCGGAAAACTTACAACAACCCAACACAAATGCATGATTGCTTCCCTGGTCCAGCTTAAGGAATATTTAAAAAAAAAGAGTTACAAATTCCTAGCCTCTGATTCACAATTACAGACTCGGCCTCCATAAAGCGCTGGGTGTTTTAAAAACTGCTGCATTTCCAAATAAACCTTGAGATTTCTTGTGCCAAAATTGTGTACAAAGGCCATAGCCGTCATGTCCTGGCACATCCTCAGAACAGAGTACAAGTTAAAAAACCAGAGACCAAAATTAGGAAGTGGTGCACTAGAATTGCCCATTCAGCATGGGACTTAAAGGGACTTAGAAAAAAGGAGACATTATATTCTGCAAAAAAAAAAAAAAAACCTTTTTCTCAGAAGCCACACTAGTTTGGCACTTGCAGATCTCCAAAAGTAACAGGTTTATAAAATTAGATGATCCAAACAAAACATTTGCTTAGAAGCCCATCCAAGACAATGGAGTTAGGAAACCACTACTCGGCTGTTTGGGATTGCTCTTTTCTTTTATGGTTTGAGTGACCCATTTAAGGTGGAATCAGGTTTCAAACAGGGATGTGTTATTCCCCCAACCTTATTTTCCATCTTCATCGCTATGATACTTCATCTTGTTCATGGAAATCTTCCCACCGGAGTGGAAATCATCTGTCGGACAGAAGGCAACCTCAGCGGACTGAAAGCCAAAACCAAGGGCACAACAACATCTGTTATAGAACTCCAATATGCTGATGACAATGTAGTCTGTGCACATTCAGAAGAAGACCTACAAGCCACTCTAAACACCTTTGCAGAAACATACGAGAAGTTCGTCCTGTCACTGAACATCGAGAAAACCAAAGTGCTCTTCCAGCAATCACCAGCCAATCCCTCTGCAATGTCAGAAATACAGCATGATGATGTAACATTAGAAAATGTTGACCATTTCCGCTACCTTGGCAGCCACCTCTCCACAAAAGTCAACAATGACACTGAAATACCGCACCGCCTGAGCTCTGTGAGTGCAGCATTTTTCCGAATGAAGCACAGAGTATTTGAAGACAGGGACATCCATAGGGATACCAAGGTGTTTGTTTACAAAGCCATTTTCCTCCCAACCCTGCCATATGCCTGTCTACAGGCGTCACACTCCACTCTTGGACGATTCCATCAGTGTTGCCTCCGAAAAATCCTGCAAATCTCTTGGGAAGACAGGTGGACAAATGTCAGTGTGCTGGAAAAAGCAAAGACCACCAGCACTGAAGCGATGGTCCTCCGCCATCAACTCCGCTGGACCGGCCACGTTGTCTGAATGCCTGATCACTGTCTCCCAAAGCAGTTACTCTATTTATTTATTTTGAACACTTGTTCCCTGCCCTTCTCAACCCCCTGGGGGGGGGGGGGAGACTCAGGGCAGCTTCCAATCAGAAGTGATTCAATGCCACAATAAATACATAATAAAACAAGCAGTCAATTATAAATAGTGAAAAACATTAAAAAATGGCCAATATTAGTTGAAAAATAGTTGAATGCTCCATTAAACTTATCCATAATCCATTTCCAAGCCATTGTCGATATTGTTATTGTCCGCTTAATTACCCAAAGGCCTGGTCCCACATCCAGGTTTTTAACTTTTTCCTAAAGGTGAGGAGGGATGTAGATGACCTAATTTCCCCGGGGAGTGAGTTCCACCGGGGGGGGGGGGCACCACTGAGAAGGCCCTGTCCCTCGTCCCCACCAAGCGTGTTTGAGACACAGGCGGGGAGGTGAGCAGGGCCTCCCCAGAAGATCTTAAACTCCAAGGTGGGACGTAGAAGGAGATACCTTCGGACAGGGACGCTAGACTCCCATTATCTGTTAGTCTGCCCATTGTATAGTGATCCAAGGGAAAGACACCTGAAACCCTTGTTGACACAAGATGAAGGAAACTCTATTGCAGAAACAGTGCGGTTTCTGCTGAGCGATACAAATGACTATGTAACTTACAAAGTAGCCCTTTTTGCTTGCTCTACAAAAAAGATCACACAGTTAGATAAAATTGCTATCAACTGCCAAGGAGATTCTAAGGGTTAACTGGATCCTCTCCTAAAATGTATTTTAACTATTATTAACTTTCATTGTTTTTGTTGTGGGAGCAAATTATGGTTCTGTTTAGCTTTGGTGCCTGTACTCTTAGGGTACTATTGTGCGCGTGTGGTGCTTTTTGTGATGGCCTTTGGCCCGTACAATAAACTATTTTTTGTATTGACTCCCAACTTAAGAACTGGAAATGTATGGTTGGTGGACAGGAAAAGAGATTTAAAGATGGACTTAAAGCCAACCTTTAAAACTGTGGCATAGACACTGAGACCTAGGAAGCCGTGGCCCTTGAGCGCTCTAACTGGAGGTCAGCTGTGACTAGCAGTGCTGTGGAATTTGAAGAGGCACGAACGGAGGGAGAAATGTGCCAAGAGGATGGCGAGTCAAGCCAACCCTTTCACCTGGAAACCAGTGTCCTCACTGTGGGATAACATGTGGATCAAGATTAGGGATCCATAGCCACCTATAGACCCCCATCTGGAGGACCATCATCCTCGAGCTAGGATGGATCGCCTATGTAAGTGAGTGAGTGTAAGGCAGGCACTAAGTTTCCCTCCAGCTGTCTCAACCTTGTTTACTGCTGGAATGCAATGATTCTTCCGCATCTCCTATTGAAACTTTGCCTTCTGGCAATCCCTTTTTCTACAGCAAAGGGCGAGCAGAGGCTTGCGTTCCCACGTGACCCGGAAACGCGGCGCGCGAGGGGAGCGCGAGGGTGGGAGGGGGTGGCACTCACAGCTGCCGAAAGCCAAAGCCGCCAGCAGCCAGAGCGCAAGCGCGCCGGAGGGAGAGGCCCTGCGCCTCGTTGGAGCGCCACCTGCCGGCACCCTCGCGAACAGCGCGGCCATCTCTCTGCGGGGCGGCCGAGAAGGAAGGATCCCGCCCGGATGCCCCACCCCTGGCAGTGACGTTTCCCGGCCGCTCCCGTTGTGACGTCACCGCCCAGCCATTGTTGCGGGCGGGGAATGGGTTGGCCGAGGAGAATTTCCGCGCAGACTCAGTTCGAGCCCTGCCACCCACACCTCAGTCAATCACAACATACATCAGATTGGGAATTGTACCTTTAAAAAATCTCTAGGCGCATCACCGCATTCTTTCCGCCAAAAGAGGGTTTAAAATTATGAGAAACCATAATAAATGCCCCATAATAATAATAATAATATAGATTGACTGTCTCTTTAAATGATTGGTGTCAAGGTGTTGCCACATATAAATGTATGGCAATTTCCTGGTATTGCTGAGCCAAACGAGACTGGGATAAGTGACTTCCTCATATGCAGCAGACTCCCAATTAAACGACACCCATAAGGATTGGTAGATGCTGAATAAATGTAGTTTGTGGTTGTTTGTAGCAAATTGAGAGTTGCTACAAATATTAGGCCTAACTAGTACAGTACTATACCATACACCAGGCATGGGCAAACTTTTGTAGGCTGTTAGGAATTGTGGGAGTTGAAGTCCAAAACACCTGGAGGGCCGAAGTTTATCCATGCCTCTTGGCACATTTCTCTCTTTCGCCCTCAATCCGTGCCTCTACAAATTCCACAGCACTGCTGATCACAGCTGACCTCCAGCCAGGGCTTCCCAATTCTCTGTCTATGCCACAGTTTTTAAGGTTGGCTTTGAGCCCATCTTTAAATCTCTTTTCCTGCCACCAACATTTTGTTTTCCATTCTTGAGTTCAGAGTAGAGCAACTGCTTTGGGAGTCTGATTGGGCATTCGGACAACGTGGCCAGTCCGGCGGAGTTGATGGCGGAGGACCATCACTTCAGTGATGGTGGTCTTTTCTTCTTCCAGCACACTGACATTTGTCCACCTGTCTTCCCAAGAGATTTGCAGGATTTTTCGAATGCAATGCTGATGGAATCGTTCCAGTAGTTGCATGTGGCATCTGTAGATACTAGTTCATGTCTTGCAGGCATATAGCAGGGTTGGGAGGACAATAGCTTCATAAACAAGCACCTTGGTATTCCTACGGATGTCCTGGTCCTTAAACACTCTCTGCTTCATTCAGAAAAATGCTGCACTCACAGAGCTCAGGCGGTTTTGAATTTCAGTGTCAATGTTGACTTTTGTGGAGAGGTGGCTGCCAAGGTAGCAGAAATGGTCAACATTTTCTAATGTTACACCATTGGCCTGTATTTCTGGCATTGGAGAGGGATTGGCCGGTGCCTGCTGGAAGAGCACTTTGGTTTTCTCGATGTTTAATGACAGGCTGAGCTTCTCATATGCTTCTGCAAAGGTGTTTAGAATGGCTTCCGCTGATGGTTCAGTGTACGCAAACTGGGTTTCATGCACAAATCATTGAAATGTTGTATAAAATTACCCCCAGGCTGTGTTTATAAGGTGTATATGACACATAAATGAACATAAATGGCAAGGGTTGTTGTAGGTTTTTTTGGGCTATATGGCCATGTTCTAGAGGCATTCTCTCCTGACATTTCGCCTGCATCTATGGCAAGCATCCTCAGAGGTAGTGAGGTCTGTTGGAACTAGGAAAATGGGTTTATATATATCTGTGGAAAGACCAGGGTGAGGCAAAGAACTCTTGTCTGTTGGAGCTAGGTGTGAATGTTTCAACTGACCACCTTGATTAGCATTGATGACCTGGCAGTGCCTGGGGCAATCTTTTGTTGAGAGGTGATTAGATGTTTTTGTTTGTTTCCTCTTTGTTGTTTTGCAAGGCATGAAACAATTAAGGCCAGCTAACACCTCCCAACAAAGTATTTCCCCAGGCAGGAAGCAGCCAGGCTTTGAAGCTGCAAGGTCATTTAATGCTAATCAAGCTGGTCAGTTGCAACAGGCAGACAAGAGTTCTTTCTCCCACCCTGGACATTACTCCACAGATATATAAATCTGGCATGTCATAGTTTCCAACAGGCCTCACAACCTCTGAGGATGCCTGCCATAGATGTGGGTGAAACGTCAGGAGAGAATGCTTCTGAAACATGGTCTTACAGCCTGGGAAACTCACAGCAACCCAGTGATTCCTGCCATGAAAGCTTTTGACAGTACATAAATGAACTTGTTTTCACTTGGATCCCATCTATAAGATGCATTATATACATTATATGCAAATAGAGAAATTCCAAAATCTTTTTTTTTTAAATCCCAAACATTTCTAGTTCCATGCATTTCAGATAAGGGAAACTCTACCTGTATCTGCAATGTGTCAGTGTATATATTATTTATGCAAATATAATTATGTAATCATTGAGCCATCTTTGAAAGGATTACCTGCATTGCTGTCTTTTATTCAACAGGGTAGGAAGGTGGCTGCTTCAATGGCATTAATTAAATGACGCAATTATCTAGAAATCAGGATGAAAAGAATTTCCAAAGGGAAGAAAAGATCAAGGAAAGAAAAATCGTTTCTTGAAAACATGCAAAAATGAAAGCAGACAAATACATCAGACTTCTCTAGAAGAACAGGAGGCAGCTTTTCAAGGTGGCTCGTTGGTCTAGGGGTATGATTCTCGCTTAGGGTGCGAGAGGTCCCGGGTTCAAATCCCGGACGAGCCCGTTTTTTAATAACAACAATAATACAAGAATCAAACCTAACTAACCCTTGCATTTGGTTCCCCCCCCCCCCCCCGCCACAAGCATTGCGGTAAGTATTGTCTGGTGTTATTAACATGAATACATATTTAAATACCTTGTGCACATCTTTTTGTTGTGAAAAATAAATCCTTTGGCATGCCTAAACAAAATAGTTAATTTCTGTGTAATAACGTTTCTATTACAACCAGTAAGAAAAGCCCAAAGTAGAAGAAAATGTAATAAAATGCAGATGTAACATCAGGGGGGAAAAATAAAATTCCTTTACCCTGTTTTAAATGAAGCACCATTTGTAATAGCCATACCTTTTCTTTATTTTTCCCCATTCCTTCCTCTTTTGCATCAGAATATTTAAAAGCCAGCAAGGAAATCTTAAATGAGCATTATTGGTTTTGCATTATTATTATTATGCATTTTCCCAATCCAAATTATCCTCCTTTGCAGGAAGAACCCGGCAATTGGTTCTCTTGTCTACGCCTTCTTTTGCTTAAGGAGCGGAAGAATGAGGCATAAAAATAAATAACTTGACAACACCCCCCAAAATTGGAGGGGAATCCACACTTTTAAGAAGTCCCTCCATTTCGCGGGCTCGTCCGGGATTTGAACCCGGGACCTCTCGCACCCGAAGCGAGAATCATACCCCTAGACCAACGAGCCGCTCTCAACTCGCTCCTCCTCAGCTCACTTCTTCACGTTTAGCCCGCCCTATTGCACCACGCAAGCACTGCACTGTCAAAAGCACGGATGCGAACACCCCTTCAGCTGCGGAAAAATGGTTCCGCCCGCAGCCTTGGCCATACCATTAGACGGGCCTCTTCATTAATACCCTGTAAGGGAAAACGGGAGATACCACTTTGCTGGGCCCGGCGGGGGATTCTTTTCCCTTTCTACTATTAATTATAGCGTTTCGGCTAGGCTGAGAGATTCCACATTAGATCCATTCCTTTCTTTTCCTTTTGATTTTCCTTTTCATGGAATTGTTTCAGGATGAAGGATCCCTTTCCATCCTTCATCCATACCTGTTCAAAGATCTTCTCTCAAAGTCAATTTAGGACAGAGATTGTTGACAACGCTAGTTCTGCAGGTTTCTGGACTTTAACTCCCAGAAGCCTCAGCTGCCTCGGCCAATGATCAGGAATGCTGGGAATTGAAGTCTTAAAAAACCTATATAGGCTCAGAATGTTGGCAAACACTGATTTAGTGTAATCTGAGCAAATGGGTCATATTCCCGGATGTTGCCAATTTCCCTCCTGTTCTGCTTTGGAGTGATGTGCCTTTAAGAGCTGCATGTCTGCCAGGGCCAGCAAAATAAACATATTTCCTTGCAAGTAGGGCAAATGACAGAAAGCATCCACGTGTCAATTATTTTCTGCCCATCAGGGAATAATTAAAGGGATGCAAACCAATGATATGCTTTATTTAGGTCACCAAGCAACTGTATGTATGTGTGTGTATATATATGTATATGTGTATGTGTATATATATATATATATACACACACACACACACAAATTCTGCATTTTCATCAGGATGGAGAGACATTTTTGTAATGCATAAGTGCTTCATATATATGTGTGTGTGTGTGTGTGTATGTACACATACACACACATATTATATATATATATATATATATATATATATATATATATATATATATGAAGCACTCATGCATTACAAAAAATGTCTCTCCATCCTGATGAAAATGCAGAATTTGTTCTGTCACTGTCAGGCTCCATCTCCAAACTATTTTGATAGCTGTACGATATCATTATGTAGATGTGCGGAAATTTAATTTAATTTATTAACTGCTTTTTAGAAGTGCTTCGCCCCAAAGCTATATACTTAAAGCGTAAGGGAAAAGGATCTATTTCTTGGGGTTAGATAGGAGACAAGAGGTCTTTGCCCCATTTCCTGGTGTTAGTTGATGTGGCAAATGGAAAATTATTGTTTTTTATAATCAGTTATAATATAGCTGTAAATAGTTGCTGCTTATATTATTTATTATTTATCTACCACATTTGTACCCTGCCCTTCTCACCCCAGAGGGATTCAATGTGATTTTACAACAGGCAACAATTTGTTGCCATATTATTTATTTATTTATTTATTTCCCACATTTCTAACCCGCCCTTCCCAACTCCCGGGGGAGGACTCAGGGCAGCTTACACCATATTTACACTATATTTCTTTTCCTAAATTTGAATTATTATGTATTGTATTTTATACAACGAAGAACAGCATTCACTTTCTGTGGATATTATCTTTGACCATCGGTATTCATCCACTATTTCTTGATGCTTTTGATACCTTCCTAAATTTGCTTTGCTTGCCATGTCACGTATGGATTGACAGGGCAAAAGGACAGATATAGCTGAAGCTCCAAGCTGTAGCCTCTGGCTTAATGTTGTTTGCATTATATACTTTGTGTGCATGTGTGTCCAGTAAAGCTGATCTAACAAAATAATATCCTAAATCAATATTTTGCCAAGGCCTCCAAATGCATTAGCCAAAGACCTTTGGGATTCTTCCAATAACATTTGTTGTTGTCAACCAGCAGTGTAGAGCTATTTTTAAAAGGATGCATTCTTGGGGTTGCGGGGGTGCTGGTTGATTTTGTCATTTGGGAGTTGCAGTTACTGGGATTTATGGTTCACTTATAATCAAAGAGCATTCTGAACTCCACCAACGATGGAACTGAACCAAATTTGGCACACAGGACTCCCATGATTAACAGAAAATACTGGAAGGATTTGGTGGGCATTGACCTTGAGTTTTGGACTTGTAGTTCAGCTACATCAAGAGAGCACTGTGGACTCAAATAATGATAGATCTGGACCAAACTTGGCATGAATACTCAATATGTCCAAATGTGAACACTGATGGAGTTTGGGGAAAATAGACCTTGACATTTGGGAGTTGTAGTTGCAGGGATTTATAGTTCATCTACAATCAAAGAGAACTCCGACACCCATCATGACCCCCCCCAGGGGTTTCGCCCCCCAGGGTGAAAAATGCTCGTCTATATAATGTCTTAATAGCAGTATAATACAGTGCGCATTAACTGGCATGCATAAACTTAGCTGAGACCGAGCAGTTACTTTTTTGGACTTCAGCTTCCACAATAATGCAAGCTGTATTTCAATAAGTTCTTTCTAACTATAAAGTCTTGTCAAGGTGTTGTGGTTGAGTTTGACAAAGATTACTATTAAAGGAACCCATCCTAATCGTAAAACTGGATTGGACAGGAAGCGGACAGACATTTTAGCAAATGTTCTGGTAACTGGCTTTCCTCTGAATTTAACATGTAAGATCATGATTGGGACTGAAATGTTGGGTAAGTCCATATTGCTACTTTGAATTTTGCAGTAAATCAAGAAAGAGGGCACCTCAGCTTTGAAACACGCTAGAGAAACATGCCAGGCAAACCAAAATGCTTGCTAAGACAGATGGTCTTCACAAAAGAGCACTCTGTTTGCATAAGGGCTCCCTGACTTTGCCATGGGCATCGTCAGCAGTGTGTCTATTTTGAGTACTGCAACAAGGAAATATTATATTCAGTTCAATCAGTCCATCCATTGCTACAAAGTGCTATAAATAAAATATCAGGTCATAATATATAAAATGCATCTTTGATATTTATAAATGATAGGAAGACAACAAATAGATTATTTTCTGTAAACAAATTAGTCACTTTCAGACAATACACAATGGACATGGAATTCACTGCCGGATATTAGCATAGATTTGTATAATGTTGGTCTATTAATTATTAATATTCTCTGCAACAACAAATCCTAGACTCCATTTATGCTCAGAAGCTATATATGTTTGGTTATGGATATTATTGGGGTAAAAGGAACGATTATCTCCGTCATGCCCTACTTGAGAAACTTAGAGCATCTAGCTGGCATACCCTTCAGCATTTTACAGATGGAAACCAGCTTGTTATAGGTAACAATGAGGAAGAACATACACCAGTTCTTCACCAATGGAAGTTAGATGAGGATAAAGGCGGTAAGTGGGAGGCAGGGAGAGTGTTTGGGATATGTTAGAAGCAGCTATAAAAAGTGGGACACTAGAATATTAATCGAAAGTATTCAGCATGGTTGGAGGGAATGATCTGGCTCTGCTGGATTAGACATTTTAGGTTGTCTTGTATACTATGCAAATGTTTGCTCACTTGGTACCTTTTTGCTGAGTGTGCCATTTCTGTTTTATTAAGATTGACTTAATGTTTGTTTATTTATTTTGTTTATGTCTTGTCTGTCTCCTTGTTCAGGCTTTTAGTCTACTCTTCCAGATCAAGAATGTATGACGTTCCTGCTTCTGCCTGGAATACGGGATGAAAAGCAATGTTGTGTTCAAGTGTAATAATCTGCCTCGAGACTGGCACCACTCACTATCAGAATATTGCACTTTAGCAGCACTAACATGGTTTTCAAGAAGAATCGACTTGGTTTAGTATTTATACTAAATGTTTACAGAAATAATGTTGTTGTGTACCTTCAAGTCATTTCTGACTTATGGTGATCCTAAAGTAAACCTGTTATAGGGTTTTCAGAGGCTAAGAGTGTCCAGATTCCCACTATGGATTTTCATGGTAGAGTGGGGATCTGGACTCTGTTCTCCAGGGTTGAAGTCCCTCTCTCAGACCATTGTATCACACAAAACAAGTTGCACAAGCTCTTTGAATAAACTTGTCGTCTGATTTGGAGTCCACCCCCCCCCCCCATGCATTGCTAATGGCAGGCATACAATGATTTCCTTGCAAGTTACAAAATGCTGCCTGCTTTCCTAGGTTTGCCTCTTTGTATAAATTTGTTCTAGTACTGATACACATACAATATACTTGAGCCCAGATCCGCTTTTAGCCATTTCCTTCGGCCAAACCGGCTTCTTTGGTTTGTTCGGGTGCCCGTAATGGCGAGCCGTCATGGATTCCTGTCTATAACGGGACCACATGGCACCCGATCTTGGCTCCTCCTCCCCTATTTGGCACCACAGTTCAATCATTTTGATTTTCCTTTATATTTTTATTTAGTGGGACTGACTGAGAGTTGGGGACGTGAGGAGTCGGGTGGGTGGGATGTGCGCATGAATTTGGGGCTTGTGAGAGGCACCCTTTTAGCTTTTTTCTCTTTCCCTTCCTCTCCTTCAAATACTTATTATCTAAAAGATAATAACAATAATTATTAATCCCAGCAAACAAAAAGGGAACCCTCATTATCTGAAAACGACTACCACCTAGCTACCTCTCCTCTAGAGTAGAAAGTCAAAACAGCTTTAAGGAAGCATTAAACCTGGAGATTGTAGTATGCTCATTCCAGACAGAGCCTGCAGTAGAGAAAAAAGAAGTTTTTTTTAAAGGAAGTCCAAGGAGATAGCTCCAGGTCGGTTGCTCTTTTTTCCTTGGGAAGTGGGAAGCCCCCTTAAATGTCTTGGAAAGTTAAAAGTGGGGAGAGAAAGTGCGTGCCTGCAGTCTGTCTCCTCTAGAGTAGAAAGAAACAGCTATCATCTCCCCCAACGGGGGACTCGTGGCGGCTTACATGAGGCCAGGCCCAATTAACAAATTACAATAAAATAAAATATGAACTAGGAAATACCCTTGCCCTTGTCAAATTTCTCCTGATAAACCAGACTTACCTAATCTAGTGTGTGTTAAGTGGGATGGACTACACCTCCCATCATCCCCAGACAACATAGTCACTGCTGCCTCGAGGAATGGTCAAAGCTGTAGCCCAATACACCTGGGGGTGGTATGGTCAATACTGGGCTGTATGGACTAGTTATCTAACTTTGTGTAAACTTCCTGTGTTGTTAACATATTACATTATATACTCATTTTTCAAAACTGGCCTCTTGAATGGACACTGTTTTTGCAAAATAGGATACTCTCATGCATGACGTTTAAAATAACTATTGTTTTAGTCTCGTTTGTAAGGAAAAGCAAATGGTAAAACCTCACTGGCCAGAAGGCACATTCGTGTTACAAATCTCTCTCCTTAACTTTCTACTCCATATAATCTATAATCAAGCAATCACATAAATAGCATCCAAGACTCAAAATCATTGTAGCCTACTACTCCCACAATGTCCCTATGTGGTGAGGAGGAAACCCAGTAGAGTTGAAGGGCAAGACTATTTCTGTTATTTTAGCAAATTGGGATTTTCCATCATCAGTGACTAGACCAGAAGGGGCTGTTTGATGTGGTTCTATGGGAGCCCATGTAATTGATATGCATACAGCACAGTTACAGCCAACAGGCCACAAGAAGTTTGGAAATGTCAACTTTAATAAAAAAAATTAACTGATATGTATTATAACTAGGTCCTCTTGAAAAATCCTTGGAACAACTGAGTTCCTAAAGTCCACATGGAATTATTTTCTTTGCCATCCTTCTTGGTGTGTCACCATCCTAATGTGTCAGAAGCTTAGATAGCTTAGTACACAGAAGGCTGTCTTTGGTTAAAGATGGCCATATTTGCTGCAAGACAAGCTTCAGAACTGCCAAAGTAAAAAAGACAACATTGATATTCTTGGGATTTTCAGTTAAGGAGGAACTTTTGTTCAATCAGGAGCAAGCAGTGTATATTGGACATTCAACACTATCCTTCATTTCCCATTTCTATGCAGTAACTATACTGGCTTGATATCACACTCTGGAGCTTGTAGGAGTTTCTGTGTTTCCTTCTGGCAATGGAGTCCCAGTTTCTTGTGTCTCTGACACTTGCTGTGCATCTTCTTTCTCACATAATTTATCTTTCGCATCTATTTTATTTTCCTGGTTAGAAGTATCACCATCTTCCCTATCCCCCAAAATGTTCTGCTGTGACCGTCTCTTTGTGTTCTCTGCAGCATCAAAAGTTTGAGGCTTCTCTTTGTCCACTTTGATTTCCTCAAGTTGTTTTTTCTCTGGAAGTTTTGGGTGAGGTTTCTCTTCTTTGGTGTCCTTGCGTAATGTCACTACTTCAGTCCCTTCTCCTTTCTCTCTGTGCTCTGGTCTATTGGACAGATTGGAGGGGGAGGCTTTATCAGATACTACCTGGCTTTGTTTCTCATGGTCGTCTGTGCCATCTGCTATGGGCGGCGATGGTTTTGTAGCCTTGCTCTTGTCATCAAACACACTCTCCTCCTCGTTATTCTCCTTGGCACCATTTTCTTGATGAGAAGCTGCCACTCCTGAATCTAGCTCATCTCCATATTCTGTCTGCGACTTTCGGAACCTTCTGGAGGGTGGTCTGCGTTTGATTGATCCTCGTGTTCGTACCTGAAAGGACACAATACTGTAATTGAATCCATTTTGTAAAGTCAGCAAATACACCTAACAGAAATGCCTCAGTTGTCAGACAGATATACGTTCCTTTTCACATCATTTGTACTTGGCATCACTATTGATTTTATGAGAGAGGATGGATGGCAAAAGTAGAGCACTCAACAAAATGGGGTTTGTGGGTGTATACAGTCAGTCCTTCATATCTGTGGATCTAACTTTTGTGGATTTGATTATTCATGAATTTGATATGTTATCTCTTGATTTCTCTAGCTTCCTAGCTTCTGCTCTGGAAGATCCTAGATAGAGGTTCTTTCAGGTTAAAACAATAGCATTTTTATTGTTTATTTTTTATTCAAATAGACTTGCATACAGTGTTTGTTGCATACAGTGCAATGCTTTCCATCTATTAGTGTTCCATAATCATTTCTCAGATAATATATTTCCTTTAAGGGGGCACAGTCTACTATATATATAATACATATAAAAGTATCATAGACTCTTGTTTAACATCCGCTTCCTCCTTGTCTACAGTCTTATAGGCATAGATACTGAGAACTGGGAAGCCCTGGCCCTTGAGAGCTCCAGCTGGAGGTCAGCTATGAGCAGCAGTGCTGTAGAATTTGAAGAGGCACAAATGGAGGGTGAAAGAGGATGGTATGTCAAGCCAAGAGGACGGCATGTCAAGCCAACCCTGACCGGGACCGTCTTCCACTTTGAAACCCTCACTGCAGGAGAACATGCAGATCAAGAATAGGGCTCCACAGTCACCTACGGACCCACTGCCAGTACACTGATCTTGGAAGACAATCCTACTCGGACAATGAGGGATCGCCTACGTAAGTAGCAGTCTTATAGGATCCTCTCTATATATATTTAGTTTAATTTTACATTGAGGTGTTGAATCATTGGTTGCCATTCATTAACAAAGTTATCTAATAGTTCTCCTCTTAATAATACAGTTATTTTATCCATTATCAGCATATCTGTAATACATTTTCCCCATTATTCTAAAGGAGGTATCTCTGAGTTTTTCCAATATCTGGCATATACTATTTGAGCTGCCACTAAAACAATAGCATTTTTTTAAAAAATGTGTTTTTCCCCAATTTTGCAGAGGTCTTTTCCCTAACCCGTTTGAAAGTAGAGGGCCTATTATATGTATTTGAGAAGGAGAGATAAACAGACAGAGAGAAAAGAGAGGGAATATACTGACAGATGGAACATTGTGGTTCAGTATATATTCCTATTGGGAATACCTTATGTGGACCATAGCTTGAAGCTCTAGTCTAATGTCTTCCTTTCTTTGAAAAAGAGCAATTAAAACTTAAATACAATCAGTCTTATGAAAGATCAAATTTTGAAAGTTACAATTTCACGATTGCATCTCAAAGTCTTAAAAACTATTATTTATTATGTGAACTGTCCTTCAGTTCAAGTGAATTTGGATCAGTTTTCCAGGCTGCATGTGACGGTATTGTTTATTGTTGCTTTTTCAACGTGAATTTTGGACTTTATTCATGCTAGATGATGACTTTCCCCCTCCCTTTCAAATATTTTCCCCAGTGAGCCTTTCCCCATTTCTTTTTAATGTTGTCCTGACAATGAAGAGGGTGTCTCCATTGGGAAAGCCTGGCACATACCATACCTTGTTATAAAATTGGAGATGACTGCCCTCTGGTGGCTGATCAAAGCTCACTGGTATTTCATCTGATTCACTTGAATGCGAATGTGGGGTGACTGGAGTGGATGGTGGGCTGCTAAATGGAGAAACCATTGCTTTTAGGCCTGGACTTTTGGGACTGGCCCCTGGCAGCAGAGAAGCTGGAGCAAATGCAAGATTGGCCTGCAATGAAAACAAAAATAGCCATCATTTTCCATAGGTTTAAAATTTAACAACTTACTTTCTCTTATTGAAAATCTTTCTGTATCATAATTATGGGCCCCTGGTGGTGCAGTGGTTTAAACCACTGAGCTGCTGAAATTGCTGACTGAAAGGTTGGGAGTTCAAATCTAGGAAGCGGGGTGAGCTTCTGCCAACCTCCCAGCTTCTGTCAATCTAGCAGCTCAAAAACATGTAAATGTGAGTAGATAAATAGGTACCACTTCTGCAGAAAGGTAATGTAGTCATGCTGGCCACATGACCTTGGAGATGTCTATGGACAATGCCAGCTCTTCGGCTTAGAAATGGAGATGAGCACCACCCCCCAGAGTCAGACATGACAAGAGTTAATGTCAGGGGAAACCTTTACCTTATCATGATAATTACACCAAAGTTTTGGACACAGAATAATTTAATAATACAGTACAATAGGCTTGTGCATTTCAGCTACACCTCAATCTGGCCAAATTTTGGTAGACCCCTGCATCCATTTCCGCGCACCTCCCAAAAACAGACAGGCAGCTGAATAGCCGTTTTTAGTCCGCAGCCGAAAAATGTGGCCAGAACCAGCCCACTGGTGGCAATGTGGGGGGGGGGGGCTCCCTGGGCTCCCCTTCCCATAATTTTCCAGGCTATCGGGATGAAAATGACCACACTTGGAGGACACATCTACCACTGTTAGCCCACCAAGTTTCATAACGTTTGAGTTATCCCTTGATTTTTAGGATTTTTTTTATTTCTAGAAATAAAATCCCCTTAAAATTCCCCAAAAGTATCCCCTGCTGGCACCGCCCTATAACTTCTCCAGGAGCAGCAGCAGGGCACCATTCCTTCCTGCAGAACATCAAATATCACTTCCACATCAAACAGCCTAGTGCCCCACTATTACACTTTCTTCTTTACTAAAAAAAACAAAAACAAAAGAAAATGGCAAGCAACATCTTCCAAAGCTTTTTCATGTCTTCTTCTCATGAAACATATTGGAAGAGGCCAGCAGCAGCAAGCAAGCCTTGTCCCCTTATTGGAAAAATCCACTGGGAGAAAAAAAATCAAAATCTGTGCACAAGCCCTGTATCTGCAGGGGAAACATTCCAAGATCCACCTGTGGATACCTGTAACTGTGATTTCATGGTATATTTTGACTATAATTGGGTCATAGGTATACCATAGAATTGCACTGGCGGACCTACACTTTCAATGGTGCTATTTTTGTGAAGTGTGGATAAGTGAAAAAATGGCTATTGAATCTGTGAATAAGTAGGTCATACTGTACATACCAATAGATGTACAAATATTTGCTTAGAGGATCTCAAATGGAATTAAGTAGTTAGTCAATTTAGTCATCCAGGAATAAAAATTTATGCACAATAGTGATATATCAGCAGGCTTGGGAATACCATCTCTAAGTAAAGGTAAAGGTAGTCCCCTGACATTAAGTCCAGTCATGTCTGACTCTGGGGTGTGGTGCTCATCTCCATTTCTAAGCCAAAGAGCCAGCGTTCTCCGTAGACACCTCCAAGGTCATGTGGCCAGCATGACTGCATGGAGCGCCGTTACCTTCCCGCCGGAGCGGTACCTATTGATCTACTCACATTTGCATGTTTTCGAACTGCTAGGTTGGCAGAAGCTAGGGCTGACAGCGGAAGCTCAAGCCGCTCCCCGGAATCGAACCTGCGACCTTTCGATCAACAAGTTCAGCAGCTCAGTGCTTTAACCCACTGCACCACTGGGGGCTCCAGTCTCCTGTAAATTCTCTGATACACATTGGGACAGGTGGGAATCCTGTGGCCCTCCACAGATTTCTGTCTTGCAGCTCCCAATTGCTCTAGACAATACAACTAAAGATAAGGAATATTGGGACTTCTAGTTCAACAACTTGTTGAAGTTGCACAGTTCCCACCACAATGTGAAGTTTCTGTGTAAAGGTAAAGGTTTCGCCTTGATATTAAGTCTAGTCAAGTCTGACTTGGGGGGTGGTGCTCATCTCCATTTCTAAGCTAAAGAGCCAGTGTTGACTGTAGATGCCTCCTAGGGCATGTGGCCAGCATGACTACATGGAGTGCTGTTAGCTTCTCGCCAAAGCACTACTTATTGATCTACTCATATTGACATGTTTTTGAATTGCTAGGTTGGCAGAAGCTGGGGTTAACAATGGGAGTTCACCTGGTCCCACATATTCAAGCAACTGACCTTCTGGTCAGCAAGTTCTGCAGCTTAGCGGTTTAATGCACTGCACCACCATGGCCTTTTCAGGTTTTTGTGATGACTTACAAATCATTTGGGAATCTTTGTTGTTAACCATGAACACAGGGGAGCCTTTGTTCTTAAGACATTTGATTCACCCACTGATGAATCCTATAACACTGTCACCATATAATCTGGGGAAGAGAAGAGATGACAGAATAGGTGCTCTTCCTGGATAGCTGGATCCAATGACTACTGTGCCAGCTAAAGCTTTATGGATTTTCCAGCATCTCGGCCAACGAATCTATCTACTGTGATTTGGCATTGGACATTGTGCACAAAGCCAAATTAATATTAGATTCAAATCTCCTTGTCTGTCCTTGTCTAGAGAGCATTCCTAGTATCTAGAGTCCTGAAATCTTCTTCACTTTATTCATCCCATGTGACCACAGAAAAATACCACAGGAGAAAAGCATGTGGCTGTGAAGTTGCTCACATGTCTAAATCCCCAGATAATGCAGCTGTTAAGGAGATCAGTGCAGCTGAAAGCTCTGGGTGACATTAACAGGACACTGATATGAGGGAGCTCAGATTGCTGGAGTCCTAGGATGCTTTTGCAGAAGGATGCTAGGACTAAATTTGCAGTGCCAGGACAAAAACAGACACTCCTACCGTGAACCTCTATCCCAGCTGGCATAAACCAGGTGTTAGCAGGAGAAGCAAATGCAATGCCCACTGTAAAATCATAAGATTGTGATAAAATGCCAATAGAATCAGCCACATTAATGCTAAAAGCCTGCTTTTCTTGAAGTGTCACCTTGTGAATGCTTATTCCGAAGTAAACCTCACTGAAATAACTGGAACATCCTCCCAGATAACTGAATACAGGATGGCAGCCTAAAAAGGGAAGATTATCCCATTAGATCTTACCTGAAGTTTTTCAATCATGGGAGAACTTTTGACCTTTATCTTCAAAGGCTGAGGAGCATTTGGAGATGGCTTCTGTAGAAAACAAAATATGTTTATTTTTTTTTTTTTGGTATAGATTTTTATTGAAGATTTTAAAGGGGGAACATTGAGGGGATGTCAATCATTGACTAGGTATAAGATAAAAAGAAATAGGTAGGTAGAGGTATGGGTAGGGTAGGGGGGGAAGTGGGAGGTAGGGGGGGTGGTTAAAGGGATTGGGAAATGTGCAAGGGTGGAGGTGGGGAGGTGAGCGGGGGGTGAGGGTTAGAGAGGAGCAATATTGGTGGTATAAGTCTACTGATTGGGGTCCATTGTTCTGGTTAGTATATATGCCAAATAGGATTTCCTGCGCGGGCTTCTTCTTTTACTTTCTTAGTTAATATTTAGATAGGTTTTGACTGGAGACCAGTCTGATTTGTTTTTCGTCCTTGTTTGCATACTTTTCAAGTATTCTGTTAAACTGTCCATATTCATTATATCTAATAGTTTATGTGTCCATTCATCCGTCGTTGGGGTTTCTTTCTTTTTCCAAGTTTTGGCCACCACAATCCTCGCTGCCGTCATCATGTGGAAAAGGAGTCTGTCTTTGTTTTCATCCAACTCGAAATCGAAAATCCCGAGGAGAAAGTATTCTGCTTTCATCTCTTTATTTATGTTCAATATGTTGTTTGTTAGATCATGAATCTCCTTCCAGAAACTTTTGATTTTTTCGCAGGACCACCAACAATGGAAAAATGTTCCCTTCTTTTTCTGGCATTTCCAGCAAAGTCCTGAGACATTTTTGTACCATTTTGTTAATTTGCTGGGGGTAATGTACCAGCGGTACATCATCTTTAGCCAATTTTCCCGTAGGTCGTATGAATTTATCCATTTTAGCTTTTTGTTCCAGATCTCTTCCCAATCTCTTGTTCTAACTGTATGACCTATGTTTCTTGACCATTTCGCAAGGCAGTTTTTATTTTGATGCTTCTCCAGCTTCCATTCCAGTAGAGTCCTATAGGTTTTGGTTATCCCTTTTCTCTCTAGTCGCATGATCCTGTCCCATTGTTTTTCACCCGGCTCAAACCCCACTTTTTTGTCCGCATTGAAAGCTTCTATCAGTTGTCTATGTTGAAACCATGTGATTTCACCATATGTATGTCTTATTTCTTCTAGAGTCTTAATTTTATATCCTTCTCTACTTTTTGTTAGGATGTCCTTGTAGCGGGGCCAATTCTCCCAGCCTAATTCTCTCCTTTGTGTTGCTTCAAGTGGCGACACCCAAAGAGGGGTTTTTGAATAGAATTTCGTTTTATACTTTTCCCATATTTTAATTAGGGAGGACCGGATGAAGTGGTTGCCGAAGTTTTTTTCGATCGACCTCTTTGCATACCACATATATGCATGCCAGCCACGTAGCAGGTCGTGGCCTTCCAAAGTCAAGTCTTTTATATTATTTATGTTGGACCATTCTCTTGCCCACAATAGACCACATGCATCGTGGTAGAGTTGGAGGTCCGGTAAACCCAGACCTCCTTTTTCTTTCCTTTCAATTAAGAATTCATATTTAATTCTTGGTTTCTTCCCGGCCCATATGAACTTTTTGATTTCCGTGTTCCATTTCTTGATTATTTGAGTATTTCTTATAATAGGGATAGTTTGGAAAAGGAAGAGGAGTTTGGGCAATACCACCATTTTAATGGCTGATATTCTTCCTAGTAGCGATAATTTTAGACTCTTCCATTTTGTTATCTCTTTATTTATCTCACACCATTTTGTTTCGTAGTTGTTTTTCATCAGATGTAGATTTTTGGCTGTTATAGTTATCCCAAGATATTTTATTTTCTTCACTACTTGGATGCCACTTTCCTCTTCCAACTTATTTTGTCTTTCTTTGGTTATATTTTTTGTTAATATTTTTGTTTTGCTTTTGTTCAGTTTGAAACCCGCTAATGCTCCAAATTCTTCTATTTTCTTCATCCAGTTTTGTATAGACTCTAATGGTTCCTCTATGACACATATGACATCGTCCGCAAACGCTCTTATCTTATAGGAGTGCTTCCGAATCTTAATTCCTCTAAGTTCTTTGTCGTTTCTAATTTCGTTAAGTAGAATTTCCAGTGTCATTATAAAAATTAGCGGGGAAAGTGGGCACCCTTGACGCGTTCCTTTCTGAATTTGTATTTTTTCAGCTGTTTGTCCATTTATGCATATGTTGGCTTCTTGTTCTTTGTAAATTGCCTTAACCGCATTTATAAAATGGTATCCCATGTCTAGTTCTTGCATTACCGCCAGAAAAAATTCCCAGTTGACTTTATCAAAAGCCTTCTCCGCGTCAATTGCCAGAAGGGCGCATTCTTTGTCGATGTTTTTTTCATAGTACTCTATTACGTTAATGATATTTCTGACGTTATCTCTAATTTGGCGGTTAGGTAAAAATCCTGATTGTTCTTCCCGGATCCAGTTCCTTAAGAATTGTTTTAGTCTTTCTGCTAGTACGGCCGAATATATTTTGTAATCTACGTTTAATAACGAGATGGGTCGGTAATTCTTGACATCAGTACTGTCAGAGTTCTCTTTATGTATCATTCTAATCGTAGCTTGTTTCCAGGTGTTGGGGATTATTTGCATTTCAAAGGCTTGGTTTATCAATTCCCTAATTTTTGGGGTCAGTTCTTTTTCATATGTTTTGTAGAAAACTGCCGAAAATCCATCTGGACCTGGCGATTTAGTGGCATCCAATCTGGAAATGGCTATTTTTATTTCCTGGTCCGTAACTTCTTTGTTTAGGTGTTCTCTTTGGTCCTCAGTTATTTTCTGTAGCTTTTGTCTTCCTAAGTATTGCATAATTTCTTCTATTTGTGTCTGATATTTCGAGTATAATTCTTTATAGAATTTGTTGAATTGGCTTATTATTTCTTTATCTTTGTTATATTCAGTATTATCTGATGTGATTTTAGTGATGAATTGTTTTTGTTTCTTTTTCCCGATTCTTCTAGCCAGCCAAGGCCCCACCTTATTAGCATTTTGAAAGTGGTTCTGTTTCGCGTATTTAATTTTCTTTGCGAGCTGTTCCGTTTCTAGCTCAATCCTCTGTCTGTGGAATATCTCCATTTCTTTTTTGGTCTTATTGTCTCCAGGGTCTTGCTTAAGTTTGTTTTCTGCCTCTTCCAAGTTTTGTAATATTTTTTGCATTTTCTCCCTCCGTTTTCTATTTCTTATTGCGTTCTGTTGTATGCAGATGCCTCTTATTACCGCTTTCCCAGCGTCCCAAACCGTTTGGATGCTGACATCGCCTGTTTCATTGCTCTCGAAATATTTCTGTATTTGTGTCCTGATTAGTTGTTGGGTTTCCTAGTCCTTGAGTAGGTTCTCGTTAAGTCTCCAGTTTCCTTGTTTTCTCCTATAGTTGTAAGTTGTTTCTATAGTGCTGTGGTCCGAGTCGAGTCTTGTAAGAATATTAATTTTTCCTATTTTTGAGGTGAGTGATTTCGTGGTCCATACCATGTCAATCCTTGTCCAACTCTTATGGCGAGGAGAGTAAAAAGTGTAATCTCTTTCTCCACGGTGGTGTTCTCTCCAAGCGTCTTGAAGGCTAAGTTCTTCCAACATATTGGTTACAGTTTTGGGTAGAATACCCAAAACTGAAAACAAAATATGTTTGAATAGACAGTTACTACATAAAGTAACCTCCCACTGCAATGAAGAGGGACAGAAAAAAAGGAAAGAATTTGGTAACTCTGTGGGTCAAACATTACTTTGTATAGCAAACAAACACATACTGTATATACGGGAGTATAAGCTGGGTTTTTCAGTCCTTTTTTAAGGCTGAAAAAGCCCCCTCAGTTTATACTCGAGTCACGGTATATTTATTATTATTATTACATTTATTATTTTACATTTATTATTTTACATTATTATTGTTGTTATTATTACATTTATTATTTTACATTATTATTATTCTTACTATTACATTTATTATTTTACTCCAATGTTATTATTATATTTATTATTTTACTCTATTATTATTACATTTATTATTTTACTCTGTTATTATTGGAAGGATACGGAAACATTGAAGAAGGTTAGAATATGATTTAATCAGAGTTAGACAGTCTTATCTTAAATTACAGTTTTATCTAAATATTCAAAAACATTTAACCTCTCGATGCCTCAATTAATTTAATTTTACTGGTATCTATTTTTTTTATTCTTGAAATTGACCAGTAGCTGCTGCATTTCCCATCCTTGGCTTATACTCGAGTCAATAAGCTTTCCCAGTTTTTTGTGGTAAAATTAGGTGTCTCGGCTTATATTTGGGTCAGCTTATACTCGAGTATATAGGTTACTTCAAATTATAGTATAGTTGTAGGGATGGGTTTTATGAATACAAGACACACAGAGAAGAATTGTGACGAGGTCTTTTCTGATAAGCAGCTTGTTCCATGGCTACAGTCTGGGGGTATGTTAAGTGGCCTGAGCAAAAGCATGTACCTTTTCCTAAGGATGCCTTCACAGTAACTTGTATGGAATGCATACCCCATGCTGGTCCCTGTCAATTGGCAGGACTGATTTAGCCCTTTATCTAACAAACTGTGACACTATATATGGTTCCTATCCATGCCTTCCTTGGAGATGACTGAATGAATGAACAACAACAACAAAATCCATGCCTTCGAAGTTCCTCACTATTTAAGGAACATGTTGGGTTGTCTTTGGAAACTGTTTGGAAACTTCAGTGGGTCCAAAATATTGTAGCCAGACTATGGACTGCAGTTGATTACAGGGGTAATGTGATCTCAACCCTCCACCCCAAAAAACTCCTGTTGAAATAACATCGCTGGTTGGCAGCCTGTGACACAATTCAAAATGTGATCTGCAGGGAAGGGTTTTCCATTGGTCCCGTCTGCACACATCTTCATAGGCACATATGATGAGGATATGGGAGGTCCGGTTGGCCCCCTCTCTCCTCTTTTTCCAGAATTACCTTGCTCCTCATGCTAATAGTCCCACCACTCTAACCACTGGACCATTCTGCCTGGAGACTAGTGAATATCATATTTTATAAAAGAAAAAAAAAACATTGATACTTACTAGCTCACCATTTTGGCCAGGCTCTGCTTTGGGTATGTGGAGAGGAAGGGAACATGGTGGTTTTCTACGGGTTGGTTTAGCAAGTGGTATCTAAAAACAGAAAAACAACGTATCAAGTGACAGGAAAAAAAAATAAAACATTAAAGTAGGAAAAAAGTACAATAGTGGTATGCGGGAATGAACTAACAACAGTGATGCTTGGGAAAAGATCTTGAGAAATTATGCTAGAAGACCCTGCATTATACATATTGTTTTGGAGTGACAAAGTGCACCTGGCGTAAATCTACACTACACATAGTTATAGCTGCTTAATATAGCTGACTAAGAATAGTTGCAAAATGGGGAAGGTGACAACACAGATGAGAGGATATGCTCTGGACTATCTGAGTGAGTGGTTCCCAATCTTTAATCCTCCAGGAGTTTTGGACTTCAGCTTCCACAATTCCTAATACCCAGAAAGATTGCTGGGATTTCTGGGAGTTGAGGCCCAAAATACCTGGAGGACCAAAGGTTGGAAACCACTGATCTAGATAATTGTCCCGGATTTGGTACAAGCATGCTACATCTGGGGCTGCTCCAGGGCGTATTTACACCTGTCTAAATAAGCCTAGTGTAGAAAGAGTCCTAAGTAGAAAGCTACAAAGCTACAATGCCAACTTCATTCTCTCAGTTAGTCTCTTCAGTTGCTACAAGATACTTTACATATAGAAGAATTTCTGTAATGAATGCAGATTAAATTCTGAAATTAATCACTATTTCTTCCTTCTGTTGTTGAATTGTAGCTCACCTCCTTTCCAGAGACTGATGATTGGTCTTGGAATTTTCCAGCAAGCTGTGCCACAGATGGACTCGCTGACTTCTCTGTCACCACATTGGTCTCTGAAGATTTTTCCTGGGAGGAATAAGACAGAAAGAAAACATTTATCAGTGGATGAGAAATATGGAAAATTCAAGGAGGTGTGAAGTTTAAAACAATAATTATAAAAAAGATGATGAAAGTTTTTTTATTTTCACAATCATATTGCAGCAATTACATTTTTAATCAAGATAAAATGCAATCAATCATATTACTGCTTCCTCTTCCTCCCCTTTCCACTCCTCTAAAATCCACTCTCTCACACACAAATATTTATTTATTTATTTATTTAGACCATTTCTACCCCGCCCTTCTCACCCCCGAGGGGGGACTCAGGGCGGCTAACACAGGCAACAATTCAATGCCAACAGTATCAAAACAACAATATAAAATCCATTACATAACAATTAAACAGTGATATTATTTAAAATTACATAACCACATAGAGGTAAAAATACAGAGGTAAAAATAGAGGTTTCCCCTCGATTCTGACTCCGGCAGGTGGTGCTCATCTCCATTTCTAAGCCAAAGAGCCAACGTTGTCCGTAGACACCACCAAAGTCATGTGGCCAGCATGAGTGAATGGAGCATCATTATCTTCCTGCCAAAGTGATACCTATTGATCTACTCACATTTGCATGTTTTCAAACTCCTAGGTTGGCAGAAGCTGGGGCTAACAGTGGGAGCGCATCCTGCTCCCCAGATTCGAACTGCCAACCTTTTAGTCAGCAAATTCAGCATCTCAGTAGTTTAACCTGCTGCACCACCAGGGGTTCCTTATACATAGACACATACATTTTTGAACAGTGACTACAACCATTGTTCCCATTATACTATTCTCCCACTCATCCCATTGCAGTGACCTCCTGTCCCTTGGGTCAAAGACATTCATATACAACCCTGTCTCTTCTTCCCAGTGAAACATTATCTCTTTATTACTTCTAGCACAACAGTCATCTAAAAATCCCAAGCAAAAATTTTTTGTAAAGTCAACAGAGTATCCCACTGCTTTTTTACGGGTGTCAGCTAGTTAGTTGAAGAAGAAACTCTTAGGATTTCATCACACCAGCCTGTTCTCTTGAAACAATCACATCCATACTTCTCTGCAATCATGCTGCTTTGGAGACGCTTGGTCCCGTGATCACCCTTTCGCATTACCTTGCTAACCCTGTTTTCTTCCCTGTGTATTACCTACGCAGTGCATGCACACTTTTCAATTTTAACTTTTTTTTGCTGCAATTTCAAAATTATGACAAAAGGATACAATTAAACAACCAAAAAAGAAATACAAAAGAGAATAAAAGCAATCTCATTTTGCTTGGGAATAACAAGGGAGAAAGGAAGAGAAGGGGAGGATAATCATTCCTATTTGTGTCACGTGATTGCTGGAATATTGGAACTGCAGCAGGAAAGACATAAGCAAAACTGGAGCAGTAATGATATTGGGATCCATTGATGCGTTTTCTCCATCAGTGACTGAAATGCAAAGCAACAATAGTACAAACCAAATGTGCTGTTATCCTGCTGGAATTGCAATTTTCCATCCTTGTGTGAGAAAGTCCTGATGTAAAAACAGGATGGTTACCTGATAGTTAGCTAAATTTGAATGTTTTAGAAAATAATAATTAAACAAAATGTATTGCAGAATATGTTGTCTTCAAGCAGCTGGCATGAGAATTGGATTTGGTATCTTTATTGGCATAACACGACATAAACATAGAATGTGTTGCAATTCTTTGTGGCATCTACTGGCTTGCTGTGAGTTGGGAAAAGAGTCGGTCATCATAACTTGTTTCTCCATTGTTTTGTTGGTGTTTCCCTTCCAGGATGTTGCAAAGACCTGACTTTTTCAACAATACTTTTGGCTTAGATACTGAGAATCATTCACACCTAGAACTCATATTTGCTGTTTGAATTATTTTCCAAACTTTGCTTGCCCTTTTTCATTGGATCCCTAAATTCTATTTTTAAATGTTCAACTGAAGTTTTAAGTTGCTGCAATGTTAGACATTTGGGGAGACGAAGGAACATTTCATTGGAATGGGTAATGCTTTTGTTTTGTGTCAACACTCTGGAAATGCATGATGTTTTGTGCTGTAGTCATTTTCTGAACTGTTTAGCCACCAGTACAGGTGATCTGCACAACCAAATGACCTGGCTTAGAAAACATTGTACTCCTTGCCGTTCCCTCCCCATATTGGTGATCTACCCAGCACAACATAAGAAGAAAGAAGTAATTCTGCAAAGTAACTGTTATCTAAAATATACGCCCCCGCCCCTCCCCCGCAAAAAAGATTAAATTACAGGATATAATCAGGCTGCCAGTCTTTCAGGGCTGAACCCATGGACAACTTGTTCTAGTCTAATCTCAGAATGATACTCTAGCTGCCCCTGCAGACAGAGGGACTGAATTTTGAGAACAATATAGTAAAAAATGTGAGGGAAACACAGCGTTCCCATCCAAGGCTCTGGGTTTGAGTTGTTTAATCCTCCACATTCTGGCAACAGTTATGCCCCCCGGGCCAAACTTTGGGGCAGAAGGCCAGGGCTTATAAATGCTACTGGGCCGGCTCATCCCATGCTGAAGAAAGAAAAGAGAGACTTATCATTGTTGAAAGAAGGAGGTTATGTAAGATCATGATATCCAGAATACGAAATGCCAACTCCTTGCAAGTAACTCACCCACACCCACCCTACCAATTTAAAACAATGGTTGAATTACAGGAAATCTGCTCTCCTTATCTTTAATGGTAGCTTCCTTCACTGTTTGCTTTAAAAGGGTTTAGAAAAGTTTGGGATAATAGGGGTGGTGTCTGTGAATTAAGCAGAGCTCCAGTCTTCTATTTCCCCTTTAGACCCTCCTTAGTAATCAATAACAACGCAAAACCTCTCGTTAAATGCACCAGTGGAAGAAGGAGTGTTGATAACTAGAAATGTTGTGTGTTAAATCTTATTGAGGAAAGATTTTAAAAATCAACACATAATTGGTTGGATTTAATTAAATATTTTTGTGTTTCAAGAGTGCCATGAACCAAAAAGTTCATTACTAAGTTCATACTAAGGTGGTTGGATGGGAGGTTATAACTAATTAATGTATGATTCATTAAATGTAACTCGTCCATCCTTCATTGCTCACAAATAAGTATTTGAGGTAGGTGATGCACTGAAGTGAGGGTGTTGTTGTTGTTCAGTCGTCTCCAACTCTTCATGACCTCATGGACCAGCCCAGTGAGGGTACTCCTATCCTAAAAGATGGAGTTATTTATTTACGACATTTGTACCCCACCCTTCTAAACCCTGAGGGGGACTCAGAGCAGTTTTACACATCGGCAATAATTCAATGCCATAAAAACATACAATTAAATAAACATTTACACTAAAAACACAGAACTAAAATATCAAACAATTACATCAATTATTAAAATCACATCGTCCAAGACCATAGTCCAGAGCCATTCCAGTTGTCATTGCACAGATTCTGCAATCATTTAGTGTACTGAAGTTACTCTCTGAAAGCTTGGTCCCATAGCCATGTTTTAACTGTCTTTCTGAAGGCTAGGAGAAAAGGAGCTGATTGAATATCACTGGAGACGGAGTTCCACAGCTGAGGGGCCACCACTGAGAAGGCCTTTCTCTCGTCCCTACCAGCCACGCCTGCGAAGGAGGTGGGACCAAGAGCAGGGTCTCCCCAGATGATCTTAACCCCCAAGTTGGTTCATAGAAGGAGATACATTCAGACAGGTAAGCTGGGCTGGAACTGTTTAGGGCTTTCTAGGCTAAAGCCAGCACCTTTGAATTGTGCTCAGTTCCAGACAGGGGTTGTATGCTCCCTGTACACTGTTCCAGTGAACAATCTGGTGGCTTCCCGTTGGACCACTTGAAGCTTCTGAACAGTCTTCAAAGGCAACCCCATGTAGAGTCTGTTGCAGTAGTTAGTTCAGGATGTAGCAAGAGCATAGACCACTGTGGCCAAGTCTGATTTCCCTAGGTACGGGCATAAGTTTTACTTGTGCAAATGCTCCTCTGACCACCGCAGAGACCTACAGTTCCAGGCTCAGTGAGGAATCCAGGATCACTCCCAAGCTGCAAACCTGCATCTTCAAGGGGAATGTAACCCTGTCCAACACAGGTTGTAGCCCCATACTCTGTTCAGCCTTGCAACATACACTAACAGATATCACTAAGCCAGGGAATATATTGTCATGACTTCTTTCTAATATTACAAAATTCTAGGTGGAACATTTAGATATTGGGAGTTCCCTCTCCTTAGTGTTAAGTATTGGTCTAGGGGCCTCATCCCATGACTTGGGGGAAAGCAGGTAAAAGCGGGAGCCCCTGGTGGCGCAGTGGGTAAAACCCCTGTGCCGGCAGGACTGAAGACTGACAGGTCGCAGGTTCGAATCCGGGGAGAGGCAGATGAACTCCCTCTATCAGTTCCAGCTCCTCATGCGGGGACATGAGAGAAGCCTCCCACAAGGATGATAAAAACATCAAAATCATCCAGGCGTCCCCTGGGCAACGTCCTTGCAGACGGCCAATTCTCTCACACCAGGAGTCATTCCTGACACGACAAAAAAAAAAAAAAGGAAAAAAAAGGTAAAAGCGGAGGGAACCATCTTACTTTGTTCCCTTCTGTTAAGTTTAGTCTTCTGGTATGGTCAGAAATCCCAAGTCCTTTCCCGGCTTACTCCAGGTTTTTTCAGTTTGGAGTTGGGGTAATACCTGATTGCTGAAGATGCATCCTGGGCTGCAGACACAGAGTCCCACAAGTCCCACTGGAAGTGCTCTTTCGCCATGTTATGGCTTCTGTGGGACTCAGTTTCTGAAGTGCATGGAAACGCAGCCCAGACTGCGTGTGATGAGGTCATTGGTCTCTAAGGGTTTCATTTTCATGTATTTGTGAAAAATATGACAATTGTAGCAGAGCATAGTGGTTTATGTATTGGACTATGACCCTGGAGACTAGGGTCTGAATGCCTGCTATCAATAGGAAACGCTACTTTGTTGATATTCCTTGATGTCTTATCAGCTTTCTA